ATCCTCTTTATTCACTGTCCAGCTTTCGCATCCATATGAGGCTATTGAAAACACAATGGCCTGGGTCAGGCGCACCCTAGTCCTCAAGCTGATATGAAGTATATCAGGTGATTTAAATACACTGCTAGTATTAAAAATACTTTGTACATTGATCCTAAGATTCAGCTGAGGATAATGACCAACTAAGAAAGCATATTTGGTACATTCAGAGCTAAAGTCCTTGGGTAGCATAAATGATGAAGCATTCAATTACTAGTTTATAAGTTCAAACCTACCCAGAACCACCGTGGAAGATGAGCTTGGCAAGCTGCTTCTGAAACGTTTACAGCCTAAAACACTGCAGAGCAGCCATAGTCTGCACACAGAGGTCCCTTCAAAGGCAACTAGCAACAGTAGTTTGAGAACTAACACATAGGGTCTTTTAGATTCAGTTTGACATTTTTCAACCAATTACCTAAAGTTGAGGTTATATTTTGAAGTGATTATTCAGGACAATATTATCTAATTTGTTGTTGTTATGTGCTGTGGAGTCGGTTCCGACTCATAGCGACCCTATACGTGGTTTCCAAGGCTGTAAATCTTAACGGGAGCAGAAAGCCTCATCTTTCTCCTGCGGAGCAGCTGGTAGTTTTAGAAAGGCTAAAATTTTATGGGCATATTATTTTAAATAATATGTTCCTTATAATATTATGTACAGTATTTTTAAATGGAATAATATGAGTCAAACTTGCAATATAATTTTGTTTTTTATATGTGTATATAATATCCTGTTATTTATATATGTTATATATCACATATATACAATGTTTTATATATATATACACACACACACACATACATATACAGTGGTTATTGCTGAGTAGGTTTTCACCCATAGGGACCTTGTATGGAGTTTCCAAGGAGGAGCGTCTGGTGAGTCTGAACTGCCGAACTTGTGGTTCAAACCGACCTTGCTATCAAGTGCTTATCTTACAGCACCTCACCAGGACTCCTATATCTAAAATATAATCCTGTTTCATATATACACATACACTTTATATATACATACATATATACAAATACATATACTTTTTTTCTTGCACATTGTATTTTATGACGTATATTGTGATATTTACTCTGTTGAACTTTTGAGTATATGATAATTCTTAAACACATTATAAAAAAATATCATTATGAATGAGTTTTCCCATTATTGTTTCCTTTATGAGTTTTCCCATTATTGTTTCCAGGTAATCTTTTGTCTCTAGGTTATAATAGAGCATTGGGTAAGAGTTAAGACTCATGATATCATAAAATTTTTGACTAGAAAGGAAATTTAAGGTGACCTCATCAAAGCTCATTATTTTGTAACTAAGAAAATTAAGACCACTAAATTCAATTATTACTTAAAATACCAATAAAATGAGTGCTTTGTAATTAAGGTGATAGTACTATACTTTTAATTATATTATACTTGGCTTTTTGAACTTGTATTTTAGAAATGTTTATAAAAACAATTCCTGGTCTTTTTAGGTACTTATAGTCCGTTTTCCTCCCGCATGGATCATTTGTTTGAATGTATTTTAATGATTACATCTGTCTTTCCCAAAAGAATGAAAATGTCTTTGTGATAAAGGTCTTCTTTTACTTTGTTTTGTGTTTTTGTAATTTTAATCATGGTGATTGTCACAAATATTCCCCAAATGTTTGGTGATTGAATCAATGTTCCTTAATAATCAGGGGGAAAAAAAAAACTTTAAAAGATGCAGCATAATAAAACAACATCTACTTAAATGCATGATTAATAAAGATAAATATGTGTTTTATTTTTCTCCACACAGTCTCCAAACGTCCACAACTATCCCGATATGGAAGCTGTCCCCCTGTTGCTAAATAATGTGAAAGGGGAGCCCCCAGAGGACTCGTTATCCGTAGATCACTTCCAGACACAAACTGAGCCAGTGGACTTGTCAATAAACAAAGCCAGGACATCCCCTACAGCCGTTTCATCCTCCCCAGTTTCCATGACAGCATCTGCCTCCTCACCTTCTTCTACTTCAACCTCGTCATCGTCTTGTAGTCGTCCAGCCTCATCCCCAACTGTTATAACATCGGTATCTTCAGCATCATCCTCGTCAACAGTATTAACGCCAGGGCCCCTTGTTGCCTCTGCATCTGGTGTGGGAGGCCAGCAGTTTTTGCACATTATCCATCCTGTACCACCTTCAAGCCCCATGAACTTACAGTCTAACAAACTGAGTCACGTTCACCGCATCCCCGTGGTGGTCCAGTCGGTGCCTGTTGTCTATACAGCTGTACGGTCACCTGGAAATGTGAACAACACTATTGTAGTGCCGCTTTTGGAGGATGGGAGAAGCCATGGCAAAGGTAAGAGACGCAGTAAAGCTTTGGTTTATATCAGCACTACAATTAACTCTGAATTTTTTCAGTAAAAGAAACCTACAGCTTATGCAAAAGCATATACAAACATACATCCAAAAAAGCTGTTTTACAGAAGCACTGGTTAGTTAGTCATTGAATAGGACAGATTATTGTAAACTCATCCCATATTTAAGGAGCACTGGTGACATCCTAACTTAAGAATTGGACTGCTAATCACAAGGTTGGCAGTTCAAACCCCATAGCTGCTTCTCAGGACACAGATGACAGCTTCTGCTTCCGTGAAGATTGACAGTCTCAGAAACCCGTGGAGCAGTTTCTCTGCCCTAAAGGATTGTTCTGAGTTATGCTCAACTCTATAGCAGTGGAAGTCAGCCCTTTATTTATGCAGGTATGTATTACAGCTTGGAGTTTTGGTGTGGGTTTGTAGGATATGTACTTGACTGCTAACCACAAGGTTGGAGGTTCAAACCCACCTGCCACCACTTGGAAACCCTATACAGAGTCACTATGAGTTGGACTCAGCTACATGGAGCTTAACAACAATAAAAACATACTACAGTTTTACTTAGTTTACAATTTGCTAAATATTTTTTTTTTCATTTTTAAAGGATTTAATGTCAAAATTCAAATATCTAAATTTGCAAATTGATGTTTACTTTGAAGTGCTTAGTGATGAAGCATAAATGAAGAAACCCCTTTAGAAATTAGAAACAATGAATTTTTACACCAAGTAAATTAGTAAGAATCTTCTTTCACTTATTCAGATTGGGACTTATGTGGATGATAACAGTATAACATACTATAATGAAGTGTGAATACCTTCACTTTTGAGTAATTGTATATTATCCTTAAAATAATTATAAGTTTGATGACAAAAGTAGCTTGGTTTCTTATAAGTGTAAGTAATTATTATTATTTTAAATAATAGGAAATATAAAGGAAGTGTTTCAAAATGCAATAATAATATTCTCTTCTAAGGCTTAGAAGGCAAGAAAATACTTTGCTATGTGACTGTCTCTAATGATACCTGGAGTACTGCTGTGGCTCTGTAGGATAAGCACTGGACTGCTAATTACAAGGTCAGTGGTTGAAACCACCGGCCACTACTCAGCAATGCCATACCAGGTCACTGTGGTTTGGAAGTGACTCGACAGCATTGAACAACAACAACAACAATACCTAGTTAATTAACTAAATTTGATAGTCACGTAGTTTATCACAAAGTTATTTCTCCTATGTATAGGTTTAATCCTCACTCCCCATTTTTCACTGGAAGGAATTGTAAAAACCTCATATTGTAAATGCTTTTCCATTCATCTGAAAAACAAGCTGCCCTTCTATAGAAACGTAGCAGGTCCACAATAAACATTGGCTCAGCCCCTTTTTAACTGAATGCACATGTATGTATTTTATCTCAGAACCTAGAAATGATGGTGGAATAAGAATACTTTTTAAATTACTTTTTTGCTTTGATTCCATATTACCATTGAAATCCGTAGTAAAAATTTGTGGATATATAAAATACTCCCTTCTCATAAAATGGTAGTAAACATAGTTGTTTTAGTTATTGTGTAAGGAAGGATTCAAGCCTTAGAAATAACATTTGATTGTGAATTTGGATGCGTTTTTGCAAAAATCGCTACAAATTTGTCTAAGTAGATTGTTTTATCTATAATGAGTCTCTTCACAGCCCTAGAAATCGATTTCACCTTCTCGGTTTCATCAAGATAAAAAAACTCAACATTCACAGCATACAGAAATGTTAGACTGCAAACCTGACATGCAAACATTCATTGCTTACCTGATAAACTCTCTCTTACCAGGAAGTAGTCCCCTACCTACCTGTGAACGAGGATACTCAACCCCACTGCCATTGAGTCAATTCCAACTCACAATTACCCTGTCAGACATAGACCTGCTCCTGAGGAACAGACAGCTTCATCTTTCTCCTAAGGAGCGGCTGATGAGTTTGAACCATTGACCTTGCTGTTAGCCATCCAGTACTTCAGTCCACTGTATCACCAGGGCTCTTCCTTTTGTGAATAAGTAGAGGAAAAATTGGGATTGATGGTCTTTTCATGGGTTTTACTTCATCTGAACCTTCTTTAATCCTGGTAATTGTTCTCATAGAAATGATCAAATCTAGTTGAATAATGAAATATAAGAAGGCCACAACAGGTGTTTGCTTTTTGGTATGATTCACAGGTATGTTTATCAGTCATTTGAAAAGCAAGAATTAAACAATAGTGAAATCCATAAACTTGCATATTACATTATTTTATATGTAGCATCATGGTGTGGCACTATGGGATATTACACTGGACTGAAAGGTCAGTTTGAACCTCAAGGTTGGCGGTTCAAATCCACCAACTGCTACTTGGAAATCCTATATAGGGTCGCTGTGAGTCGGAACCGACTCAACAGCAGTTAACAATAGTAACAACAACAACAATGTGTATACCATATAATCCAATCTTTATTTGATATGACCTTTATATTGGTTTTATAATTCACATACCACTCTTGTTCTGAAATTAATACAGATTTTAATGATGCTTTTGACCTTTTATGCAATTTTTAGTCCTTAATAAAGGAGAAAGAAGATCTGTCTCTTTTATTTGCCATACTCATTTTATGGGAGAGGGTATTTTTACTTTAAAAATAAAGCATATAAAATATAATACTGAATTCAAATGTTCTGGATGGTATGTCTTTCAGATGATTTTGGTGAGTTTCATGTGGTGATTTATTCTTTGTTTTTTTCTCATGTATAACATTACTTAAGTATCTATAAATGAGTACAATTACTTAACAATATGATCTCACAAAAATACAAGAAGCAATAATGCTCAGATATTGTTATTTTAAATTATTACTATTATAAAAATGAAAATGTTAGGGGGAAAGAACTTGAATTGAAAAATAAAAACATGTTCCAATAAGTTTTTAGTGCTGCTAGAACCAATGACAAGTCTGAGAATCTATGGAAGCATCCCGTGTTTTCTATTTATTATTCGTTTATCATGTTTTTACAATCACCTTAATCTACAAACACTGTTACTATTATTGCTGGATTGATTAATTGAATCTGAGTGAAAATGCCTAGTGGAAAGACTTAACTGTGGAATAAAGGGAATATGAGTAAATCCTAGTGACTTGACTACAAACTTGAGGTTGGGTGCTGGACAAAGGATGAACTAGCTGAGTGAGACAGGAAGCTCCTGCTTCCATTCCCACTTAGAACTTACTTAACCTAGTGGAGGTGAACAAAGTAAACCCTGATGGATACTTTTAAAATTCTAATAAAAATAAACAAACAAAAAATTAACTCATAAAGGTACACCACTGTAATGATTAAACGCTTTTAAAGTTGGTATTAACATATGTGGTCATCACTGGTAGAGAAACCCATTTCCATGCATGTCGTAACGCACAGAAGATTGTGAATATTCTTATCCATGTCCAAGGTGCTTTATCATGTGAATTGAATCATTTGCCCACTCAAGTGTTTATTGAACACTTATTACATATCAAGAATCTTATTGACACCAAGGCTACAGCACTGAACCAAAAAGAGGCAGTTTTTATCTCTCAGAGCTGTAGTTTACTGGAAGATGTAGACATTAAGCAAAAATCCATACGATTAGGTAATTTATCATTGTGAGCAGACTTGCATTAAAACCCAAGCTAGACAAACAGATGGCTAATGAAGACATCTGAAAGTAGATGCTGGTAACAGAACTGCAAGTAGAGAAAATTGTATTGGCCAAAATGTTCTCATGGAAGGTATTACATTTATTAGGATGAATGTTTATTCTGTGATGCCTGGACAGGGGGAAGGTTAGTGTTTGGGGAAATGGTGGAGTACAATTTCCCGAAGGGTATGCTTAAGTAACACCAAAAGAATGTGAAAATGAATTCTAATAGGGACAAAACCTCAACCCATTCCTTATGCCATACTCAACTTCTCATTCAAATATTGGTCTCAAGGAATGGTAACTTTTTAGCACAACTTGGGCCTTGAGTGTAACGTGTGACATTAAAGAATATGCCATGGTACTCTGGAAGGAATCATAATTTAGACTCTTAACTACGGGAGACAGGGTTGTTAGAGAACGATTCCCAGGAAGACACTTTTAAGATTGATACCGAAAGTACAAATGTTGATGATGGGATATAGGAGCTCTCATAAGGAGCTCTGGTAGCGTAGTGGTTACGAATTGGGCTGCTAATCTCACAGTCAGTAGTTCAAAACTACCAGCTGTTCTATGGGAGAAAGATGAGGCTTTCTTCTCTCGTAAAGATTTACAGCCTCGAAAACTCTGTAGAGGGTCACTATGAGTGGGAACTGACTCCACGGCACATAACAACAACAACAACAGCAATGTAGGGAAAACAGAGCTGGTTTGGCTGGAGTTTTGTTACTGTACAACCTGAAATATTTGTAAGCAAGTCTCTAAAGGAATTATTTTACCTTGTAAAGGCATCTCAGTCTAGCCTAAGGAAGTTTTTGTTAGAGTTCCCAGGGTTTTTGGTTAGGTTTTATAGATATTTAGTAGCACAGAATCCTAAAGAGTCATAACAGATCATAAGCAAAGTTGTCCTTGGTTCATTATTACCTTGAAGGAAGCACAGGTGTATTTAGAGTTTTCTTCTTTTCTACAAATATGTATTGTGCATCTTTTATATACCAGGCATAGTTCTAGCCATTTGGGTTCCAAGATAGAAAAAAACTCCCTATTTTCATGGACCTTAGATTCTAGGAGTCCTATTGTGGCACTGTGGGTTAAGTCACTGGACTGCAAAGTCAGTTTGAACCGCAAAGTCAGCAGTTCCAGTACACCAGCCGTTCCTTGGAAACCCTATACAGGGTCGCTATGAGTTGGAATGAACTTGATGGCACTTAACAACAACAACAAAGTTTCTAGTGGGAGAGTAAGATAACAAATATATGTCTGGTATTTTAAGTGCTATACAAGTAGTTA